ATTCAAATTATTCAATTGGCCCACATCTACCAAGCCAGTGTTCCACACGGGGTCAGATCAGAAAGCCAAAGCCAAGGGCAGTGGCTCACTTATGAACCAGGCTTTCGACTGGGAACTGTGCTACCTGGATTCATTCCTATAGTCCTGGAATCACAGCTATCATCTCCTTGCTGGCTTTTATTTAGAAAGAAATCACAACAGTGACAACCATAAGCAATTTTTGAAATGCTATCACTCCAATCAGACCCTATTCATGGTTGAGTGGTAGTCCATTATAAATACATACATTTTCTTTATCCATTCATCTGTTGATGGACATGCAGGTCACTTCCAACATTTAGCTATTATGAATTGTGCTGTTATACACATGGGTATGCATGGATCACTGCAATATGATGTTTTAACTCTTTCAGGAAGATAGCCAGAAGAATAATAGCTGGGCCTAATGGAATTTCTAGTTTGGGTTTCTTGAGGACTCTCCATACTAATTTTCATGGTAGTTTTACTAGCTTACATTCCCACCAACAAAATAGAAATGTTCCTTTTTCCATACAGCCTCACCAGCATTTATTATTATTAGATTTCCTGATGATAGTCATTCTTTTTGGAGTGAAGCAGAATCTCAAGTTTGTTTTACATTGCATTTCTCTAATGGCCAAAGATACTGAGTCATTTGTGGAAAAATGGATGCATTTTGAGACCATACTGTTAAGTAAAATAAACCAGACTCACAAGCTTATATATCACATGGTTTCTCTCACAAGAGAAACCCAAAGTATAAACAGTGTAAAGACCCAAATAAAAGACAGATGATAGGAAACAGGGAGATAGAGCATTTGCAAGTGGAAAGGGGAAAGAGAGATGGAAGAAGGTGGAAGGGAAACAAGGACAAAGGGAATCAAAAAGAATGAAGATGTGTTATGTACATGTGCCAACTCCCCACAAGAAATGTGATCTATGTAGAGAAATCATACAAGTAAATATACATAGCATAAAATAAAATGCTGTCACTCAAGGGAGCCCAACTTTTAAGTCTGATATACTCGAACAATCAGGAAGAAGTAATGGCGTACAATTGGAGGATCAGAGACCTTTTAGAGACTTGGAGGATCCCAGTGTCAGGATGAGCCTTGGGACCGCACGGAGGGAAACAGAAATAAATGGTCCATGCAGCATAGAAATCCTATGCCTTCCTGCTCAGGACTGGAAAAGCTACCACAAAGCCTGCCTGCGCTCTGGTACACAAGCCATGCTGGCCACTTAAATTCATGGGAGCCATCAAATGTGTCATGAACTAAGCAGAATACAAAACCCCACAGCTGCAGAGAAGGGGAAAAGTCCACACCTGCTCCGCTCCAAACCAAATGATTTGCACAATTCTGTTGTTTGACACACATCACAAACACACTAAGTTCTCTTGTAAAACCCCCTGCAACCTTCGAGCCTGCACTAGGAAACCTAAAGTCTGCCTCTCTCCATCTTCCCATCTCCAAAATCCTCCCCACTTCTCAGGCCAGACATCAGGAAGTCATCTTGGGTGCTTTCCTTTCCTCTATCCACAAGCAACTGTGCAAATTCTATGTGAAGGATTCCTAGAGTTCCTCTGTTTAATAAGCCCACCTATGTGGACAGCAACACCCCACCGAAGTCCTTAAGTCATTCCCTCTCAAAAGTAGAGAGCAGGTCAATGATGCATTCATCTAAAAAGCTAGGGCAACAGCTCGCATACAAAATACTGCATATACAAGTGTTGTGCCAAACACAGTGGTAGGGCCTGTAGTGTCAGTTATTTGGGAGGCCTAGGCAGGAGCATTGGGAGTTCAAGGCCAGCCTGGGCAACACAATAAGATTGTACCTCAAAGAGAGAGAGAGAAACAGAGAGACAGAGGGAGAAGCACTGTGCTCTTTCTTACTCCTTAGGCTCCTTAAACATATCCGTCCTAGCTACACATGGTGACAAAGAAAGCTATGCACACCCTGCTGCCCCTGCCCACAGCCCTACCTGCTACTTTCCAAGCATCTTATTAACCAATTATTAATTGGGGCAGCAACCACATTTTTATCACCTGATACTCTTAAAAGCCTTCCTCAGGAGGGACACACAAGCATCCTCCGAGATGCCTGGTCTTGTTTTGAGACTGCTTCATACATGAGCTCAAATCAACACAAAATGAAAAGCATTCATCAGGTGACACTGAGCAGCAGCCCCTGCCAGGAAGACATCATCTCCAGGGGGTGCACACGGGCCAGGGGAGCTGAACAGGGGCAACTCCAACTGGCTCAGAGTCAAAGTTTCATTGTCCCTTGCTAACAAGAAAACTCATTTGAACTTGCAAAGCTGAACAGGGATAAATTTTCCTGAGGCACTATTCTAAAAATAATAATAACAACATTGCAAACACTTAAACAAAAGATGATTTTATGTGGGTGAATATATCGAACAGCTTCATTTCCCCTGAGTATCTTCTGATATTTATACTGCTTGCTGTGGGGGCCCTTTTGCTGTATGTGAATAGTACATCAGTTTTTAGCAGATATAAATACTTTTCCCCACCTGGAGATATGTTCCTACAACTAACTATCCTCAAGGTATTTTTACCAGCATTTGCAAGACAGAAATGCTCTGTAAGCTACAAAACATTGCCCATATGAAAGAGGCCACCTCTCTTCCTAAAGCAGAAGGCCAAGCATTACCAATGTTTATTTCACATAACACTGAGGTTGAATCTTCCAAGTCAAGTTCAACTGTATCTTCTCAGTTCTGACTTCTCATCTGCAGTGAGACTGGCCCGGGCCCCTTCCAGTGGTCCTCCCCTGGGTCCCGTTTAGGGACATCTGACCCACTAGGGGTCTGTCACTGGCTCCATTTACAGAGCTGCTCTTTTTATCTGTGCTAACTCATTCCCCCTGTCACAAGCTTTCCACTGTCACCCCTATTTCATTGCTGAGTGTTTCCTAGCTAGCATTCTCTTGTCCCAGTATTGGTTCCTCTCCCTAATGAAGAGCTGCTTCAGGTTCTCGTTCCAAATTGTGTAAACTAAATTTACTTAAATTTACCCACTCCACCAAACCCAGCTCTCCCACTAAGTCCGCACCACTAGCAGCAGCAATGTGCTTCCCTCATTAAAACAACGCACTGAAAGAATGAACCCATCTCAGGGAGGCTCCAATCTCTTCTCTTCCACCTCTAGAGAAGGGCAACTGGACCCACTGGAAGACTCGGGAACAGAGAGAGTGGCTGCTTCTTATGCAGCCCTCCTCACCTGGCTCTCAGGTCCTGGGTAGGAATAGCAGGGCTTTCCATCTGCAAATCCTCCTCACAATGGCAATGATAGTCCCAAGTACTGCTTCACTGCCTAGGGGGCGGCGGCGGCAGGGGTGGGGGTGGGGAGGTGGACACGGGACCTCGCCCTCTGCCGGCCCAATGTGTGCTACCCATGCATCAAGTACATACCAGGCCCTGGCGCTCACCGCTGGCTCCTACAGAGGAGTCGGAGGTATGACTGAAGACCCACATCACTAGCTATACAGATGGCAAGCACGTCTGAGATTCTTGTGGTACACGGAAAAACACACCTCTTCCTCCTTAAAGAGGAACTGAAGGCGGCTCCTTAACTTTCCTCATCTTCACCAGAATGCCTTCCCACCCACACCCTTTGTCTAAAACCAGGTTGAAAGCTCATCCCGAGGTGGATCCAGCTCAGCACCTCCTCTGACCGCAGTACTGCCCAGCAAAGGGCCAACTGCGTACCTCCACAGTAAAGAGCAACACGCCATACAGCGCCTCAGCGAGGCTCCAGCCTGCGAGCACAAGTCAAGCACTTATCAGCTCACCTCCCGGCCCCACCAGGCACACCAAGCCAGGGCAGTGGAGTCCAGCCCAGGGGACACGCCGCACACCCCCTCTCCACCTCCCCCGGGGGGAGGACTGAAGGAAGCTGCCGCTTCGCCCCCGGGAGAAAGCCTAGGCAGTGAGCGTCAGGTCCTCAGGCACCGAGAGCGCACCCTGCGCCCCCCACCTGTTTGCCTCTGGACCTCTTCCGAGGGAAGAGGAGGCGAAAACGCCACCAGGCCACAACACACTTGTCCAGCCAAGCGCAGGCACTGCAGCCTGTCGCTGCCACTGCCGGGACTGGGAAACCTGAAGTTTGAGCGCTGGCTGCACAGACGCGAGGGCCACTCCCGGTGCTCCCCAGCCAGTGAGGTCGCCTTTCCTCTCAGCTCAGCCGCGGCCCTGCCCCTCCCTGTGGACAGAGCTTACAGCTGACAAAGCCAGGTCCTGGCACTGCAGGAGGTGGGCAGGGGCCAGGCCTGCGCCCACCCGCAGGGGACCCCCTGGGTGACTTGCCTGGCCCGGTGCAGCCCACAGCGGGTGGTCGCAGTTCCCCTCCCTTGGCAGGACATCTGCCTGGGGACCTGGACAGGGGCAGGGATAGCTCCGGAGAGGGAACAGGCGGGGCATGGGCTGCCACTCGGGAGGACAGAGAAGCCCCTGCCACCACCGTGGGCAGTGAGAGGGCGCAGTGGCGCCGGTCCGGGGTCCCCAGTCCTGTCCTGCCCCGTCCTGCCCCGTCCTGCCCCGTCCTGTCCCTGTCCTGGGTCCTACCCCCCATCCGGAGTCTCCGTCCTGGGTCCCGTCCTGTCCCCCCATCCCGAGTCCCCGTCCAGTCCCCGACCCGTCCTGCGGCGCTGGTGGCCACGCCCGGCCCGGAGAAGAGGGCGGCCGCGCGGTCGGAGGCGGGCGTGGGGGACAGGACGAGAGG